GTCGTCGTCGGGACCTGTCCAGGTATTGTGTAGTTGAGGCGCGGCTGAATTGGGTCCATATTTGGAAGCGATTTGCAGGGAGTAGTGGCGCGTGGAGGGTGAGGAAGACAGTTGCTAGCAGCAGTAGCAAGCGGGTGTGCCGGATGCGGCTAGTGTTGTTGCTGATTGATGTGATTCAGTTATTTGATTTTCCGGTGACCAGGCTCCTGCAGCACCCGCTCCAGCTCCAGCTCCAGCTCCTGCATCAACGTCCACGCCAGCGCCAGCGGCACCTGCTCCGGCTCCGGCTGCGGTGGCAGCAACCCCGGGTGCAGGAGCTCCAGCGTGAGTAATAACCCCCTTGAGGGATGATGACGAGTAGCGAAGGAGGTGCTGTAGAGCAAGGCTTGTGAGATGAGGCCAGAACGAGAGCTATTGTGGTTGTTAGTGCAGCGATGAAACCGAGAGAATGGGATACTTGTGCCGCCTTGATTGTGCAAATGTGTGGCGTGGGAGTGCAACTACTTGATGAGTGCGGGGGCTCAGTAGTGCTAAGGTGTTGGAGTCGGCAATTGGGGGAGGGTGGTGGCTGGAGGTGTTGTTGATTTAGCGGAGGGTTGCGCTGTGCAGAGGCACGGGAGATGGATATGGTCAGGCTGCATCAAACCTTGTCGCAGGGTCTGCTCTTGAGTCAACAGTGCAGCAAATTATGGACATGGGGGGAGGAACGTGGGATCGCGACACTGTTCTACGCGCATTGCGAGCTGCTTTCAACAACCCCGAGAGAGCCGTGGAGTATCTTTACTCTGTAAGCTTCTCCTTCCGCGAGAGAGGGTGTGCAGTGAGGGTGTGAGATAAGGTTGCGAATGATGAAGTGAGCATGCGTGACAGTGGAGGGTTCAGGATGGTTGGTATGATATTTCAGGAGCACGTTGTGTTTTTGCAATGTTCTTGAACAGGTCATTGTTTCGGGATGGAGATGTGACGATCGGTATGTGAAAATGAGGTTGAGTGACCGTGGAAGAGCAGACGCGTAAAACGGTATGTGATGATGCATGGAGGGGGAAGATCGAGATGGAGAGCAGTGGAGGTGTGGGACGTGCCGTTCTAATTGTGGTACGGTTGGTATGGGTGCTGTGCAGGGGATACCTGAAGCTGCGGAAGTTCCAGCTCCTGTAGCGCGCGGTCCTCCTGCGGGCGGAGCACCTGTCGCGGCGGCGCCAGCAGGCCCTGGTGCCGCAGGCGCAGCGGCAGTAGCAGCGAATCCTCAAGGACCAAATGCCGCCCCTCTGGATCTGTTTCCTCAGGTACAATGTGGGTGAGATTTCATAGGACTGGTGTGGCGTATAAGGTGGAGATGGTAGTAGAGGTGCCACGTGGACTGTGAGGTTAGGTACAATGAAAGGACTAGTTGAATGCAGCCTTGGCATAGGCACCGGTTTATCAAGAGCGAGTGTACGTGAGTGCAGGCGTTTGTTTCGATGGAGGGCTGTGCTGGACTACTTTGCGACCTGACGGTGCGAGCCTGAAAAGAGATGAGTTGTTTTGTTGGACAGGGCATGCCGGGCGCAGGCGGAGGAGGTGCTGGGTTAGGAGCATTGGATTTTCTGCGGAACAACCCACAGGTTCTTTCTCTCGAGACCTATGAACTTGGATGTGTATGGTGGGGGTTTTGTAACGCGCTCGTTCCTCTTCTCAATGCCTGTTCTGTTACTCTACGCTTTTTTACTCTCCCTTTTCTCTTTTTCTCTACCTCTCTCCCTATTCTTTTTGCTTCTCTTCTTTTTTCTGTCTT